TGATTTTGTCATCGTTGCAATTAGTCGCAACTGTCACAATGGCATGAATGACATTCCTGTAGGTGATAGTGTCATCTTCGCCATTTGCCGAGAGCGAAGTCTGGCTTGCATTTTTTGGGTATGTCTCGAGGTTCATCCCGGGCCCGGTATGATCCCCAACGAGTTGGTCTTGGCTAGATTGGTCCACGTTCGTGCTCGGGCTTATCGCATTACCAAGTGAATAAAGTGTAGTGATTACAGCGTCCTCGGAAAGAATAGTCAATATCTGAGCAAGGCACCGAGAAGCGACGGCAACGGTGGAGCGAGCCGAGACACCCCCCTGGGCCAGAAACCTCAAAAGGCAGCGTCTTCCAATAGACGCACCATTTGGAGACATCCTTGCAAGGATAGCGGTACACTTCAGAACCGTCACAGATAGTTCCTCGTTCGACATTTGCTGGGGGTCAAGCAATGTATCTTCGAGCCAGGATAGCAGTATTTCGTTGTTGTTTGCATCTTCTCCAAGAATCACGCAGTTAAGGAAACCTACTAGGGCATGCCCCTTAACAGAGAAGGCAAGGTGCTGCTGCCAAGGAGACCCGACTTGCAGGTAGTCGGAGCCATCCTCTAGCAAGTGAATTTCCTCACTAATGATATCCGTCACGCGTTCGACTAGAGAGATATCCGCCTCGTCATAACTTTTGGCAATCCCAACGCCAGTCATGTAGTCATCCAAGAGTTGCTCATCAGTTAGGTGCTGGAACCCGATCAGAGAGGATGCGCATGATTTCACAAAGCGCATATAGCCTTCTTGTACAAGCATAGCACCTAATGGGCGAGCATGAGCAGCATATCGACGGGTATATTTTCTCCAGTCTCTGAAAGCATGCTCCGCGACGTTTGCATTGCGAAGAGTGGACGAAGCCGTCTCAACCGCGATTAGGAAAGGCTCGGACAGCATCGCTCGCAGATGATCGACCACCTGTAACTTTTCGCTCGCATGCCAGATAGAAGTGTATTCTGCGGATGCTTCCATAAATCCAACAAGGGAAACGGCGATTGACAAAACGGTAACAGATTCATGTATAACACCCTGTCGCCCCGCGTCAGATCTAGAATATTGAAAAGGCGTGACCGCAGCGATAGCCTCGGCGCAGTTGTTCAAATATCCGTGCACAGCTTCGAGAGTTGTCTGTCGCAGGTCTGGATATTTAGTTCCTAACGACAAAAGCGCAAGAGCCAGGTTATTCGTGAGAGTCTCCCAAGGCGACGGCTTTACGCCATGGAGGAAGGGCGAGGACCGGAATAGCTGGCTGTGAGATTCTGGCAGGTACCGGGAGAGTTGGAATGCCAATTGAGCAGCATTTTCTGGATCGTTCACGGAGGAGGCCGCCTTGCATAGGGCCAGGAGGACATCTAGTTCACGGATTCCCTGTCCAAACGTTAGCCTGCACCCACTACACTACCAGGGGTCGGCAGCAATAGAGGGACAAACCATTGGAACCTGCGATGTCGGGGCCTGTTGTCTCAAGACTTCATTCAGAGCGCCATCAGACTCGGAGGTCGACTGAGACTGCTCCGCGAGGCGAGCAAGCTCCGATCCATTGACAGGCGCCTCAACTGCCAAGGCAGCGAGCTTTTCAAAAGCGAAACGTCTAATTCCACCTGAAAGGCTTTGATTGTCCATTAGCATGATCCTCTAAGCATTGAAGAATCTCACATACCCGTCCATTGTGAAGGACTTAAGGGCCTAAAGGTTGGGTGGAAAGCCGAAGAATGAAGTCAGGGGACAGCACGTGTTAGGTCCGAACAACATAATTATTTGTTGACATGAAGTATACTAGTTGGACTATACTATACTATGCTGTATTATATTATATACAGTATTGTTTACAGATTCAATGGTTTTAGAGCTTCAATACCATATCTAAACATATCTTTACTTCTCATATTCGCGCTCGTCAATTTTGGGGCGGAGAGTCACCAGGGGGGTCTCTTTCCCCCAAACATGCTATAGACTATCATATCTTTCTTCGTTACTTCTTCTTTTCTCCCTCTACAATTGTGTATTTTCTTTACGGCATCGAAAAAGGTCTTTATTGACGTTCCTACCGTTGAATTGACAACTATCGCTAATTGGTCTGGAGCCCTCTCCAGTCAGGGTGATAATAGCCTGTATTATGCCCCCCCGCGAGAAAAGCTCGCTCAAGCGAGGAAGGGTACGTTCTTTTTCCTATTGGCGCAACTCATTTTCTTACAGGGGTTACTATAGGCTACTATCGATGCAGATTCACAAGACCAAAAGAAACCTCGACGCTCTCAAAGAATCTCGAGTCAGGTCCAACCGCGAGACACGCCAGTCGACTTGAACTACTTGCCAACCCCAGTCACCGGTCCCCAATCTGTCACCACAGAAACTCATAATGAGGTGACTGTTACACCCCCCGAAAGTCCGCGCAACAGCCATCAACAAATCTCATCCCAACCCGAACACGCGACTTCCTCGCCGCCAGGATTAGAGGATACTCAGGCGCTTTCACAGTTCGTGTATCCACCCAGAGCATTCGCGGACGATGTGAAGGATGAGGACGCTGAAGGGGTCTGGGGCTACCTGCTACCACTGGATGAGAAGGGGAATGGCCCACTTGTGCTGAGGACGCGCAATGGTTGCGGTAATGATGATGGTACTACCAAAGCCAAGGGGAAAAAGTCCCAAATCTCCAAGAGCGCTAAGTCGCCAGGTGGATTTTTGGTAGGACGTCATCCTGAGTGCGGTAAGTAATAGCTTGATGGTTGTCGAGTGTCTGTTCTAACTATAGTCAGATCGCGTGCTTGAGATTCCCACAATTTCAAACCGGCACTTCCTTATTTTTGCCGAAAAGAAGAAAGGCGATGTGGTTGCTGTGCTGGAGGATCTCTCTAGCAATGGCACATTTGTTAATGATGCCATTGTTGGGCGTAACAAGCACCGGGAACTGGAGGACGGCGATGAAGTTTCAATTCTGAATGAAGCCCGTTTTGTCTTCCGCTACCCCCGTACTCGGGAAACGAATGGTTTCCGTCAGCAATACCGGATTCTCAGCCAGCTCGGCAAAGGCCACTTTGCAACCGTCTATCTGTGTGCTGAACGATCTACTGGAGACAAGTATGCAGTCAAAGTCTTTGAAAGACGCCTCAGTGACCCGCAAAAGTCACAGAACGACAATGCTCTGCAGCAAGAGATTGCGTTGTTGATGGGCGTTCATCACCCGAATCTACTATGTCTCAAGGAATCCTTCGATGAAAGTGGCGGCGCTTATCTGGTACTTGAATTGGCACCGGAGGGAGAACTGTTCAACTGGATTGTGAACAATAATAAAATGACCGAAGATGAAACTCGTGGTGTGTTCCGCCAGCTGTTTGACGGATTGAAATATCTGGTATGCATACCAAAAGTCCACATATACAGTACTGGGTCAGCTAACGTGTCATCAGCACGAACGAGGTATTGTACATCGAGACATCAAGCCAGAAAATATCCTGGTTGCAGACAGGAATTTGAACGTTAAATTGGGTGACTTCGGGCTGGCTAAAATTATTGGGGAGGAATCTTTCACGACAACCCTGTAGGTGATGTCTGTCCGTGTCAATGTGAATGATGGCTAACAATTCGCTTCCAGCTGCGGTACACCAAGCTGTAAGTCACAAAGCATATGACCTTGGAACCGCAGTGTTAATACTAATTTCGCAGACGTTGCGCCGGAGATTTTGCAAGATACCCGCCACCGGAAATACACCAAGGCTGTGGATGTATGGTCCCTTGGCGTTGTTCTCTACATCTGTCTCTGTGGCTTCCCGCCGTTCTCGGATGAACTGAACACTCCAGAGAACCCATTCATTCTCGCCCAGCAGATCAAGATGGGCAAGTTTGACTATCCGTCACCGTACTGGGACTCCGTTGGCGACCCCGCTCTGGACCTAATCGACAGAATGCTTACCGTGGACGTCGACAAGAGAATCACGGTGGATGAGTGTCTTGAGCATCCTTGGATGACCGGAAAGTACCCGAGTCTCACTGACAGCACAGATGGCCTGACGGGGGCTATTGGTAAACTGGACTTTTCGAAGCGCAAATTGCAACGGGAGCGGACCTTGTTGAGCAGCATCAACGATGCCAACTTCAGCGAGCACGCCGAAGGCAGCGAGGAACCGGTCAAAGTATTCCGAAATGAAGCCGGGAAGCGTGTCCATAACCGCCCAGCCAAGGCATCCCAACGTGAAGTCTCACCAAGTGGCAACCGGGCCCCGAAAGATTTCATCAACATTGGAGAGCGTGGCGATCCCACCTTGTACGACAATTAAGGGGTACTGTGTGGCTTTGTGCAACTTTTGATTTATTATTATTGACTTTTGCGTGTACTTCGGGATATCATTATCAGGGCTAGGGGCGTGTCAAAAGGATAGGGTTCATGTATTATTAGGTCAAAATCAGGTGAAATGATACATTTACAAGAGGAGATAGTATGCTATGTACTCCCTAGGTACTCCATACGCTAATAGTTTGATATGTACTCCGTCCTGTGTGTTTAAATACTCCCAATAGTCAATATACGTCCCATCTAGCGGGAACCCCTTGACCGGAGTGGCATGATGTGGCTATATAGCCAATGCTATCACATAAAAGAGAGATAATTCATAAAATAGACACAAGCAGACACAAAATAGACACAAAATAGGTTCACTAACACCAAATAAGAAATAAAATATAACTTACGATGCAAATTATATCGCTTGGCGTCTCCTCTAGACACATACTCCATACTCCGTACTTCGTACTCCCTAAAGGGGCGGGTCTCTCTCGCCGAATGATATCGGACTTAATTATTTTCCCCTTCGCCTCCTGTTTAACCTTCACTCAACTTCTTCTCTCTTTCTTTATTATTCAATTGGACGAACAAACAGGGTCGTAGGGTCATTGTGAGCCCGTTTTCTTTCCCTTTCCCGCTGTTTTTCTTCTCTCTCTCCTTTGATCTCCTGACAACATGGGCCTCTTCGCAACTTTCCTCGCCACTTTCTGCGAGCACTGCTCGACCCAGTCAATCTACACTTTGGCCAGCGTCGGGGCACTGTCATTCGTTGCGCTATCGATTGTGATCAATGTGCTGTGCCAGCTCTTCTTCAAGAAATCCCATGAGCCCCCCGTGGTCTTCCACTGGGTCCCCTTTATTGGAAGCACCATCAGCTATGGCATGAACCCATACAACTTCTTCGACCAAGCTCGCGCAAAGGTATGTCGATCGCAGATGTCTGGCTGGCCCATGGATCAATTCAATTGCTAATCTGAGGTTAAACGCAGTATGGCGACATCTTCACCTTTGTCCTCCTGGGCAAGAAAACCACCGTCTACCTAGGCACCAAGGGAAATGAGTTTATTCTCAATGGCAAGCTTCGTGATGTGAACGCCGAAGAGGTTTACTCCCCCCTCACCACCCCCGTCTTCGGTCGTCACGTCGTCTACGATTGCCCCAATGCTAAGCTCATGGAGCAGAAGAAGGTATGCAGGAATGGATTACACCAAAAAGTCGGGCTGCTGATTGTTGCCTAGTTTGTCAAATTCGGGCTTACCTCCGAGGCACTTCGGTCTTATGTTCACTTGATCACCAATGAGGTCGATGACTTTGTGAAGAATTCCTCCGCGTTCAAGGACCCTAAGGGTACTTTCAATGTTTCCAAGGTCATTGCGGAAATCACAATTTACACAGCCTCCCGCTCGTTGCAAGGACAGGAAGTCCGCGATCGATTCGACTCGACCTTTGCTGAAATGTACCACGACCTCGATAAGGGTTTCGCTCCTATCAACTTCATGCTGCCATGGGCCCCGCTCCCTCACAACCGCAAGCGCGATGCTGCGCAGAAGAAGATGACCGAGACGTACATGGACATCATCAAGGCGCGCCGCGCAGCCGGTGATAAGAAGGACTCCGAGGATATGGTCTGGAACTTGATGTCGTGCACCTACAAGAATGGAAATCCGATTCCTGATGAGGAAATTGCCCACATGATGATTGCGCTGCTTATGGCGGGCCAGCACTCTTCGTCCTCTACTGCTGCCTGGATTGTTCTGCGCCTGGCCAGCTGCCCTGAGATTGTTGAGGAGCTTTACCAAGAACAACTCCAGGTTCTGGGCTCTGACCTGCCTCCTCTTACCCACGAAGCACTCCAGAAGCTCGACTTGCACGCTAAGGTGATCAAGGAAACCCTCCGTATCCACGCTCCTATCCACTCGATCATTCGCGCCGTCAAGAACCCCATGCCCGTGGAGGGCACTTCTTATGTCATTCCCACCACTCACAATGTCCTCTCTTCTCCCGGTGTTACTGCTCGCTCTCCAGAGTTCTTCCCCGAGCCTCTGAAGTGGAACCCTCACCGCTGGGATGAGGCTTCAACTGAGAATACCAAGGATGAAGATGAGGAGCAGATCGACTATGGTTATGGATTGGTAACCAAGGGCACCAACAGTCCTTATCTGCCTTTCGGTGCTGGTCGCCATCGCTGTATTGGTGAACAGTTCGCCTATGTGCAACTGGGCACAATCCTGGCTGCGCTGGTGAGACACTTCAAGTTCTCCACGCCTATCGCCGGTACACCCTTCCCCGAGACGGACTATTCGGTAAGTGATGCCCTATTGCGATCGACCTGGCATTTGACTAACCATATTCTAGTCCCTCTTCTCCAAGCCTCTGGGTACATCATTTGTTCAGTATGAGAGACGTGGAGTCAAAGCATGATCGGAGTAACGGTTTAGAAAAGATTCTCATTCAAATTTTGATCACATTTTTAATGCTCTGCATTGATGCATCAAAGGTTCAGACTGACCTTGAGCCAAGTCCGCCTGGAATTGACAGCTCTCGCATCATGGTACTCTTTCTTCACTCCGAAACGATTTTCCTGTATGAATATCCATCCACCTTTCGCGGCTTTGAATCGCATGTTTCTCTAAACGTTTACATAGCTCAGTCATATTATTTTAATCAGGCACATAACAACATCTCGCTTCTTTCCCTAGAAAACACGTAAAAGATGTAAAGAATATGGAAAAAGAATCATGATTGCAATAGTATAGCAATAGTATAGTACAGTTCGAATTTGAACATCCAGGCTCAACAGGAAATATGCAAGATACACAAAGTGGTATTTCACCGTTCACATTCACGCCTTCTTTCTCTCATCCAACCTCTTCTTGTTCCGGACCTCCCGGCGTCGTCGCTCGCCACCATCAACCTTATGTCCCCGCTTGTCCTCCCACATACCCTCCTGGACCGAAATGGTAGCAGCAGTACCATTGGAACCCTTCAAAGGCTGAAGGAACGGGCCCATCGGCTGACAGCCACGGTGAATCTTCATATGCGCAAATTTCTTGATCAGGTTTTTTTTGCCATAGTAATACGTAGTGACATCAGGCGCTAGGTTAACAATGGCTTTCACCATGCCGGGTGACAGTGTAGCAGAAGAAGTTTGAACTGCCGTTTGTGCGCCTTCATGTGTCAGGCCTCTGGCATTAATAGGCACTTCAACAACCCGCAATTGGGCAACACCATCAACCACAGTCTCCAGATCGCCTCCAGGGCCGTACAGTCCGTTCCTGAACTTCTCGCGCTTCCGGATCAGGTACCGTCTCTGGCGGGCTGGCTCAATGCCGGCTTGGCGGAGCTGGTTCGAGTTTAAGGTGAAAAGCTCTTCCCATGAGGGGATCTTGCTCGCTTGCTTAGACATTTCGCGGCCAATCAGCGTGAGGAAGGTCTGAACGTCGGGAACGAAAGGGGTCGGAGATGGCACAGGCGGGGGCGCGTTTTTGTGGAGTGATCGAATGTATTGGTTGGAAATTGAAACAGGCTTGAATAGGCGCGCTGTCAAGCTGCCTAGCGGCGAATTGCGCATTGCCATGACGCTCATAGTGAAGGTGTTGCGGGAAGGATGCTGCAAGCCCCGACTTTGCTCGTAACTGTACTTTTTTCTTCTCCGGAAAATTGGATTCGTAGTGGTGTGGATGAGGAGAACTGCTGAGCGAGGCCTTTGAGATTGACTGGTTTCCAGCAGTTGCCGAGGAATTGGCTGGGGTCGCTGTTGACGGACTTGGAGAAATTTCGGGAGTCGCCAACAAAGTCCAGGATCAACAATACTCCGAACCAGCCTATCTTGGGAATGACATCGGCCCTCATGTCTTGACACTACTGCCTTGACTTTAGAAGATATTTTGCTAAAGATGATCTCTTAATATTAAGAATAGCCACTCAGTATCTGTGGCTGTTTTTTTTTTTTAAATACTGTCTATCCCAGGAGTTTGACTTTTTGCTTCAAATCATTCTAATCATGGCACTCTCACCCTTCGGCTCTCGTTCGCCATCCATGACTGTGCATTCCCCAAATACAGCAATCAGACTCAGAGCCACTGCTGCACAGAACTCAATTACTGGGCCTGCAGCTGCAGCTGTGGCAAAGCCTGTGCAGAATGGGGATCGCGAACTTACCGAACAATTAAATATCGATATTCGGGAACGATACGTCAAAGGTAGCTGAATATGTGCTGTATTACTTTCTAAGGATCAATTTGCTAACTTAAAACTAGACAAAAAAGTAGGAGAGGGTACATATGCCGTGGTATATGTTGGCCACCTCCGACACGATCCGTCATCCCTCGTCGCGATCAAGAAGATCAAAGTTAATGCCGAATACAAGGATGGACTTGCTATGGACGCGGTTCGTGAAGTGAAGTACCTTCAAGAGCTGAAACATCCCAATGTCATTGCCCTCCACGATGTTTTCTCTTCCAAGGATCAAAATCTAAGCCTGGTTCTTGAGTTTCTTCCTGGTGGAGACCTTGAGATGCTCATCAAAGATAGTGACATTCACTACGGTGTGGCTGATATCAAGGCTTGGATGGGGATGCTTGCCCGGGGTGTATGGTGGTGTCACGAGAACTTTGTTCTCCACCGGGATATCAAGCCCAACAACTTGTTGATCGCGTCAGATGGGGAGGTCAAATTGGCCGATTTCGGTCTCGCCCGATCCTTTGCCGATCCCTTGTTCAACATGACCCATCAGGTCATCACTCGGTGGTATCGGCCACCCGAGCTTCTTTACGGTGCGCGACAGTACTCCGGCGCAGTCGATGTCTGGTCCATGGGGATGGTCTTTGCCGAGCTCCTGCTACGGGTTCCCTTCGTAGCAGGTAACACCGACCTGGACCAAACCTCCAAAATCTGCGAAGCGTTCGGCACACCAACAGAGGAGAACTGGCCAGGGGTCAGCAAGTTGCCCTACTACATTCCCACCGACAAGGCCCATTTGGTACCGTTGCAAGGGCGCGATTTCTTCATGCGACAGTTCCCCACTGCAGGCCCGGTGGGTGCCGATTTGCTGATGTCGATGTGTGCGCTTGATCCCCGCAAGCGCAGTACGGCTGTCCAGTGCTTGCGGCACAACTGGTGGACCATTGAACCCCGTCCGACCAAGAATGAAGATCTCCCGCGGAAATCGGGTGGGACTAAAAAGATGGGCGATGATTTGACCCGACGTGTCGGCGAGCTGGATGAGGGCATGTTCAACAGTGCTGCCCGGCAACTGGATTTCGGTATGAAATAATGACACCATAGAGACAAAATACAATATTCGATGTACAGTATAGACAAAGAAAAGCAAAAGCACGCTAATAATAGTATTGTGTATTACGAGACACTACCTAGATATGCATGACATTGACATGTGCAACAACTATTGGATTGTCCTCCAGTCAGGGATTTTATGGATTTTCCCCACGATCACCAATCTATCACGTTGCACTGTTCGCACTGTTCAAGTTAGGGCTGCGATCTATGAGTATAGGCTCCCTTGCATAGATGTATTCCTCGCTTCCAGATTGAGTTTGAAATAAAAAGAGGTTATCCGAATGACAAATAGATCCAATATAAATATGACTAGTTAGTTAGTTACACACTGTACTTTGTATGTTGCAGTCATATAAGTGTATACAGCAGATGCAGATGTACATAGTTATACAGATATACAGATCACGGGACAACGGGACGCAAATGAGGATCAACGTCAGATTAATTTTAATTTTGGCTTAGACGTCAATCTTTGCTTGATTCGAATAGCCGTTATCTTTTTGGTACTGTCTCGAACAGGAGTTCATCCCAAGCTTCACCTTTAGAGGGAGAGTACCTGGAGTCTACTCCTTCAACCCTTGAGGGCAAGCGGTAATGTGGCAGGACAACAGGACAACAGGACAACAGGAGCAGCTCCCAATCTCCCGATCCTACCTTGAAGTCGAAATAATGAGATTGGTCCCACCAAAAAAAACGAACTGCAGACTTAAACATCTCATTCGCCCCCTTTTTCCTGACCCGAACCTGAAACCTCCACTGTCTATCATTGGACATGAGATGCCCCGAGCTTCCCAGCGAATTCCCCCTTCGGTTTAACGTCGAAAAGGTGTGATGGTTTAGCGACCCCTTTTTCATATACTTGGCTCTTATGGGAGATATAAGAGAAGGAGAGTGCTTTCTCAGCTATGATAGTGAGTCTAGGGGGACTGATAGAAGGAGAGAAGGAGAGAGGAGCAGAGCAGAGAATGATAGATAGATATAAGGATTGAAATAAGGATTTAGAGAAGACGATGTAATATAAAACACCCAGACATCCATAAATATAGTCTTACACGCAGTCTGGCCCCGACCTTCTGCGGGGACTCGATTTGCATTTCTCTCTGATCTCTCTGCGTCTTTGCGTTTTTGCGTCTTCGCGTCTTCGCGTCTCTCTTCATCTTTACTTTTCATTACTTTTATTACCTTTCGTGACTTTCTTTGATCTCCATCTCCACTTCTTTCTTACCCCGTCGCGATTGCAACATCACACGTCTTGAATCCGTGAGTACCCGAGACCAAAATCATAACATCATAACATCCGTGTGCGATGTATTTTTTGACGATCCCCCCAAGACTGCATTTGGCGAAAAAAACTGCAGTAGAATCCCCGTTTATCTCATGGGCCTTGACTGGGCCCAATCCTCACGTCTTATTCATTTGGCTAACTCTGAAAAATGGCATAGGCTCAACCTCGACCTCGTCAATCTGCCCGCATGGCCATCGCGTTCACTGATTCCCATTAAATACATCCCCATTTCGCATTAGGAGATACAAATTCGCCATGGCCTCAATGTCGACATTGCCACAGCCCTCGCAGCTGTCGCAGCCCCTCCCCAACTCGAAACCTAGAAGGTCGACGGGTTCCGACGCGCTACATGCTGCATCCCCCTACCAGACCTCCAAATTGCGGACCCCATCGAGCCCCAAACCATCGCTCAAGTCACCTCTATCAAGTTCAAACTCAACCTCCAACCTAAACGCGGCTCGGTCAGCTTCCGGTGGGCGCACTCCTGGTAGCCCCGACAAATCTTTGCGACGAACAATTAGTATCGCCTCGTTCCCGCAACCACCAAAGGCCAGCAGTCGTCCATCCACTGCATCATCGATCTCTGGAATCCAAGGTGCTACTTCCAACGGGCGACCCCAAAGAAGCTCGCGACTGAGCACAGGCACTACGAGCAGTTATCGGAGCTCCAAAACCCTATCATTACTCAACGGCAGTGGCGAGGGGAAATACATATCAAGTGGGGACGCGCGAGATCAAGAGGCGTCTCCAACCCACAGCAGAAGTTCTTCTGCCCAAGGATCTTGCTCAACGAGTGCGACAACCTTTGAAGATGCAGATGATGCGATGGGAAAATCAA